TGTGTGATCAGAGGTGAAGCTGCTTCCTGGTTGTTGATGTTTGTTTCTAAAGATGTTGTTGATGAGACTTTGTAGAAAGCAGCTGGTCTGAGTGATGTGATCAGAGTGCAGTAGATAATGTCTGACAGCAGTTTGAAGAGGAAATGGATTCTGTTCTGTTCTTCACTCATCACCTACCTGACAGCTGACACCTCACACCTGTTTCTCTCCTGCAGGTCAGACAGGAGGAGACACAGAGGATGGATGGATTGTCATTGTCAGTTTTGTTATAGTTTTTGGTGTTGCTGCTGTTATTATACTTGGGTTTGGGGTTTTTTTTTTCAAAACAAAATGCGAAAAGTAGAGGCAGGGGGCTTGGAGAAACCTCACTGTGATAGCCCTGAGATGATTATTTAAGAGAAATCTCTTCACAGCTGAACTGTAAGTGTGTTGTTATAATCCTTCATGTTACTGTGTCGAATAACAGACCAAGCTGTAAATGTTAAAGAACATTCTCCAAGTGGCACTCTCAATAATCAGAAGCTGATGGTTTTTATTTTATTTTTTTTAAATCTGTTAAACTCGAAGGCCAATGGTACAGCTAAATACATCTGATGTCTTTATAAATTTAATTTCAGAGAAAATGTTACAGATGTGATAAGAGGTGTTATAACGTTTGATTATCACAGGTAGTAGTTGAATGGGACTTTTGTTTTGATTGGCTTCAAATAATTTCCCCTAGGGGTCAATAAAGTATTCTGATTCTGATTTTAGTGTGAATCCTGGCTTTTCACTTAAAAATATATCTTTCAACAGCTACTGAAAACTGTTGAGTAACTTTCCTGTAATTGTTAAGACACAGAGAATGCCGTTCAGGTAATAACATCATTTTTCACGGTTAACATTAACTGATGTTTAATAAGAACAACTTGCAAAGCAAATTCATCTTGCTTTGCAGATAACTCCTGTACTTGGAGGGGAATATCACTGGCATACAACAAAACACTGGAGTGAGTCATACAACGTATTACCTAAATTGTTTAAACATATTGCAAACAGCATAAGAGAAAGAGCAAAAGAAGTCTCAAAAAGTTTATTTTCTTCATCTCGACG